GTCATAAATACCCTTATTATTTAAATTTAATTGAAAACAAATGGAATTTTCTTATTGGTCGAATTTGGTTTACACGGTTTTTTAGAATTGGACGGTTCGCATTTGAACCTGCCCCTATATATATATATATATATATATATAAACTCTGTCTCTCATTCCCCCATGAGCTTCCAAATATGTCTTTGCCTTCTATCTTCCTCTTCCAGATATTCCATATAATTCCAAATATTTTTCTAGATTACGAACATTATATGCAATATTTTCTTGGCAATTTACAACATCACAAGAGAAGGAAATTTCCCAAAGAATAATACTCTCTCTTCAATGTCAATCTCATATAACAACACTCATTTTTCTTTTTCTTTTTATTTTGGTAAATTAATAACTTCACATTTTTATGCCCAAAGTTTTGCCAAATTTTGTAAAAATGGTCTAATATTATTCTACAACACAAACGCTCACGATTACATTACGTTAATAACTAACCCGTAAACATTTTTCTATTCTGATCAACGTCATTATTCTAAGAAAATGACAAAACAAATCGAAAAAACATATAGGAATGAGTCAACAGAATTTTAATACGTGTAGAGTCGACGACATATGATGTTTGACATTAATGAAACCTCCAAATCGACCAATAGAATACCAAGTCAGCTCTATTATATTGTTATATATTTGATTATATACCATTTTAAGTATCGATTAATCTTTTTATAATATAGACTTGTTACGACGCTTACACTTAGGTATCATCTGCCAAACGTTTAATTATCGGGTAAGCATTTAGATATACCAGAGATTAACATGACAGTTACACAGTAAACGAGGGTGACAATTGTTACCGGTAATCATTTACAGAGTAAGATTGTTGCATACAGTAATGTCATTTTATTGGTCAATAATCGTAGCTCGTAAGACTACTGGAGCAGTAGCTCTTATCGATGAACGCTTACCTCATATACGTTTTGGCAAAACGGTTTCTTACTTTTTCCAAAGTTATCGTATTTGGACATATCGTAAAAGGTAGCTTTTGTAGTCACTATCATGTAAAATAGCATTTTAATTAATTTCTTATCAACCGCTAACCTATCATCATCTAGTTTTTTTTATTAACCTGGATATAAACCCGCTATGCGAGACGACTAATCTCAGGACGACCACCTGTTTTGCAGATAGCCCGGAGTCACTGTATTTGAACATCCATGGCCACAAAAGAATTTGTATTTCTCCTTGTGTTTGAACAATGTGAACTCCGGTATAGTCTTTTTTAAGAATGTAGTTTATTCAAAACAGAATATTTTTGAGTTATGGATATAATTAATAACGGTTTTTCAGCACACTGACCAATTCTCGACAGTTACGTGCACAAAAAGAAATAAGAATCATCATTTGGTGTTGTACTGTCCAAGCCATTAATGCACAGGTTACCATCTATAAATTTGGAAAACGTGTGCAGACTGTAGATAGACCGCAAGCATTTTTCTAATTCCATTCTTCTGTTCAAGAACTTCCAAGAAAAGAGATATGATGCATCAAGAAGCCATGGATCAGAGGTTTTCAAGTTGTCGAGGTGTATCTTTTGAGATCCAACCCCATAAGGATCCATTCGCCATTGATGCACCTCGAGCTAGTCGACGTAGTTGGGTTCCATGGGGGTCTTCTAACAAAATCGCGCCAACTTCGGGTGCTATCATCTCAAGGTCGAATAGCCGAGCCAGTAGTCATTTCTGTGACTTAGAAACCGATGATGAAGATGATGAGGACGACGTTCTGATCAACATAGAAGAAGGCCACGAGTTAGACGACAAGTACGAGCTGCCTCTTCCAGTTTCAATTCCAGAAGTACTCCCACAAGCTCCCAGCAAAAAGATCCTTTCTAAGCCAACAAAACCAAAAGGGTCGAGATTGTCAGTGATATTGCTCGATCAAGGCTTGTTTACAGTCTATAAGAGACTCTTTATGGTTTGCTTGGCTCTCAACATTACAGGGTTAGCTCTTGCTGCCACGGGTCATTTTCCATACGCAAGAAACCACGCCACTCTTTTCTCTATCGGAAACCTTCTGGCTYTGACACTATGTCGAAGCGAAGCMTTCTTACGMRTCGTGTTCTGGCTCGCRGTTAAYMTCCTCGGCCATYCTTGGGTGCCYTTATGCCTCAAAACCGYTACCACCTCTTTACTTCAATCTTTAGGTGGGATACACAGTAGTTGTGGCSTTTCTTCKGTYKCWTGGCTTACGTATTCTTTAGTTCTTACCCTTAAAGACAGAGACAACACTTCTAATGAGATAATTGGTGTGGCTTACGCCATCCTCTCCCTCCTCTGCCTGTGTTGTCTGGCGGCGTTCCCCCTCGTCCGCCACCTCCACCATAATGTGTTTGAAAGAACTCATCGRTTYGCAGGMTGGRTATCMTTGATYCTCCTYTGGGYRTTTATTGTRCTCACAAAAWCTTATGWRCCYGAGACCAAATCTTACMRGAAAGACGTGGGATCAAGATTGGTTAAAGAGCAAGAATTCTGGTTCACCTTGGTCACAACCATACTAATCATCATCCCATGGGTGACCGTGAGGCGGGTTGCCGTCAAGGTCTCAGCCCCATCAGGTCATGCTTCGATTATAAAATTCGCGGGAGGAGTGAAACCAGGGATTCTAGGTCGGATAAGTCCATCACCAATGTCCGAATGGCATGCTTTTGGAATCATTTCAGATGGAAAAGAAGAGCACATGATGCTAGCAGGTGCAGTGGGAGACTTCACAAAATCCCTAGTCTCGAACCCGCCCAGCCACTTATGGGTCCGGCAAGTCCATTTCGCTGGTCTACCTTACCTGGTTAACATGTACAACCGAGTGTTGGTGGTGGCAACCGGCTCTGGTATTTGCGTCTTTCTGTCATTCTTGCTGCAACAAGGTCCAGCCGATGTGTGTTTGTTGTGGGTAGCAAAAGGGATCGAACAGAACTTTGGGAAAGAAATAAAGGAGTGGGTGAGTCGGCATCCGAAGGAGAAGGTGATAGTTCATGACACGGCGGTGATGGGGCGGCCGAATGTCTCCGAGATGAGTGTCGCGGCGGCAAGGAACTTTGGAGCGGAGGTGGTGATCGTAACGAGTAATCCTGAAGGGAGTAGGGATGTGGTGAATGCATGCAAGAGTAAAGGGATACCAGCCTTTGGTCCTATATGGGATTCGTAATTAGATAGACATTAATTTAGAAGATTTACAAACCATAAACCACAATTCAGTTGTAATTAAGACTGTATGTGTGATGTGTAAGGTCTAATGATCATGCATGTAAAGTAATAATTTATAAAGAAAATGTAAAATATATTGGCTTGAAAATGATTTAGACACTGATTTACGTTTTTTTAACCGTAGACATTGATTACATCCCGAGCAACGACTCTTGGGTCGAGAGTGATTTTTGAATCGGGTACAAAATTAGATGTCAAATTCTCTCTCGAAGATGGAACGGAATTTGGACATCATCTCGCAATACCACTTTTTACTTCTTCAAGATAACTCTCATTCTATATGTTCACTAGGCGAGAAAGTAACCGGATTTGCTTACACTCTTGCACAAGCATCTCATTTGTCATCTTGTCGGGTTTCTTATTTTAATATGCCAAGTTTTTCGACTCATTTTATTATCGATGTATGTCCTTTGAAAGTTCATCAATGAAAATTGTTGTCTTATTGTTTTTTATTGAAAAAATTGCATTAAAATGAAACCAACTTTTATTTGATTTTTATTTTGGGAACGTTTTCGTTCCATTAGGTAGCGTTTGGTACGCAGACTAGACGGGACAGGACGGAACGGGACAGGACGGGACAAAACGGGACAGGACAAGACTAATTGTCTGTCCTATGTTTGGTACGACTAGGACAGAACATGACAAAACTGTTAAAATGACAATATTACCCTTAAATGTTGTTCAATGTTATTTTATATCAATGTTATTTTAAATAATTGGGCTACCCATAGTAATCATCCAAATAACGAACAAAAGCTAAAAGTACAAACAGACTTCAACATGCCGAATTTTTTTTTTTATCAAAAGTTAAATAAGAAATTATTGAGAAGTTAAATCAAAATTAAGCAATTTAAGTCACAAAGTTAATTACAATTTCAAAAAGATTGAATTGACATTTTGGCAGCGTCATTGACTAACAAGAATAACTGATGATTCAACCAAAAAAACTTCAGGAAATACAAGAAGAAAAATCAAAAATAAAAGGGTAACATAGTCATTTTATATTTAGTCCCATGTTGTTCCACCTTTTTTGGTGGAACAAAAATTATCAAGTTTTGTCCCATGAAATTTAAAAATAGTTCCATCTTGTCCTATGCATTTTCTGTCCATGGCATGCCAAACATGAGACTATTTTTTTTTGTTTCGTCCCGTCCCATGTCGTCTGCATACCAAACACACACTTATGGTACAATTTTTCCTTTTTTATTTAAAAGATTTGGAAATTGATATGGCACATGACCCGAGATAAAAACACGGTTTTTTTATGGACCACATAATGGGACAAAATTTGCCAATAATGGCCTTAATTCAACGAATTTAATGAGGCTCTCGTTATTTGGTTTGGTTGCAAAATTGACAAGATTTTTATAATGCAACTAATTAATTTTTTTAGGGTGTATTTGATACATTGGATTGGGACATGACAAAATAGGACATGACAGAACAGAACAAAGATTTATGTAACATGTTTGATATGAATTTTATGTGAAACAGACATAAACATAATAAAACAAAGTAGAACATGCATGTTCCATCCCTACCCAATGGAACAAGGTGAAACAGACTTATATTTTACCAATATAACCTCAAAATAAAACTTAATTTTTTTCTAAAACATCAAATATGTCTCTTTTTTACATTTTATTCATTCTTTAAATTTTATTTATTGTATTTTACGTTTCTTAAATTTTCATTTTACTGTCCTCAAAATATTATTTTTATACGGTTTCTATATTTTTATTAAATTATGTAATTTATTATATTTTAATAATAAACAATAATGTAGAAAAGAGATAAAAATAAAAATAGAAAACTACATAAACTTTTTATTTGGTGTCATTTTAATTATTTTAACGAAAACTTCAGATGATATATTTTGTTATAAAAAATAGTTATTTTATTATAATTTAATAAATTAATTAAAATAAACAACTCATCAGGGGTAAATTGGTTATTTTACTTGTTATGTTCTGTCCAGTTCTATCTTATCAAACATTGAACAATTATTCTATCATGTCCTGTCCAATTTTGTCTTATTCTGACATGTCTTGACACCCTTAAAGTATTCTCTATGGACTCCATTTAAATGAGGTTGGGTTGATGCCCTTTCACAACTTTCTTTCTCTTTGAGGTTCTAAGAGTGTTAGTATATATATATATAGATAGATAGGGGAGCGATCAAATGCAAACCACTCAATTTGTATAAACCGGGCAAACCGTATACAACCAATCATAATTTTTCATTTTGTTCATTTTTTTGTAATTATGAGATGTTGATTAATTATTTTTATTGTGGAGGGTGTTAATCATAGATATTATCATCTTCATTATTTTAATTTTAGAGAAATACATGAAACAGTTTCATTAATGTTAGAGAAATACATGAAACAGTTTCATTAAGTATTATATGAAACAATTTCACAACCATATATGAAACAACTTCATCAAAAAAAGTATTATATRAAACAATTTCACAAGATTAAACAATTTCATGAAAAAATTTCATAAGATTAAACAATGAAATCGACAGATGAAGGTGGTTTGCACGGTTTACACAAATGAGGGCGGTTTTCATATGATCACTCCTATATATATATATATATATTCCGTAGAGGTGTATCTAGTGATTCCCGTAGTTGGTAGGGTCGTATAAATCGATTACTACTTTATATGTTTCGCTTATTAAATACAACGTATTGTTCTATAAAAGACTATATAACCTCTGCCAAGATTTGGATGGACTCGTCTATTGTTTATCATCGATTCATCCAAGTTCTATTCATGTTAAAGTAATTGATCGTTCCTCTCGGTTTTCTTGGTTTTCATAATCCGTTCGTCAAAGGTTGAAGACGCTGTTTTCTGATATACACTACTAAAAAGATGACAAATCCGCCCGAAATGAAAAAAGTCAACTTTCTTATCCTCACTGATTGTTACAAAAACAAATTTTCTGGCAAATTTACTGACGGATTATTTATTTATTTACTACTTTAAAAATTCCATGACAAATCTGCCACACAAACTATTCTTAATTATTTTAAAAACTTATTAATCAACGGTGGATATTAATTAAAATGCGCCACTAATTTAACTAATTAAGTCAAGGAAAATGAAAATTTAAAAAAAAAACGAGTGAGTTAAATCCGCCAGTAAATCACATTTTCGGCGAGGGTTTTTTCGGGGGGAAAATCCGCCGAAAAAAGTGTCTTGTTTTGTAGTACTAGGTTGTCAAAACCTAAATTATCGAACAATTTATGATCAAAATCTGGTTATTTTCTGAACTAACTCATATTCAGTCAACTAATTTTAATATTTACATATGACAAAAATATAATAAATAAACTCACACATCTTCCATACCCTAGTGAGGCTTGAGCCCCTAACCTTTTGGAAAGTCAAATGCTCATATACCATTAGGCCAAACGCCATTTGATCTCTAACGTTACTGTTCCTCCCTAATTCAAATCGATGTTGAATAGGAGATATCATTTTGACAACGAGCGGTGGATAAAGATCGAGTTCGGAGGATAGAAGAGAGGCCGGAGAAATGGAAATCGATATGTAGTTATCAGGAATACGTTTGTCAATGGAGTTTAGTTCTTCCGAATTTTTTGGTTCCGGTTTTTTTGGAAACCTTGCTATCAAGACTATAAACGGATATGATGACTAGCTAATAAATAAAGCAATTATAAAAATACGTTATAAAACGTTTTTCAAATTAAAATAAAACAAAAATCACTTAAGATGACAAAGTTCATAACAATATATTATACGAAGATCATGCAGTCCTTGTCCTTATTCGCCGACATTATTCATTTGTTCGTTGCTTCATTCTCGCAAGTGGCTTGACTTCTTAAACTTGACTCAAGTTGCAAAAACCCGTTGTTCTTATGAACCGAAAAAGAATTAACATTGTAGTTTCCTGAACACATTACAACAAAATTGAGTTTATAGGACGCCTCCAATCTCTAAGTGTCCCAATAGACCGCTTTATAAGACTTAATTTATAGAACCAAAATATAAAGTGTCCTATTTAAAGGTGTTGTAATAAGTTTACATGACGCTTTTGAGCGTCTTAACAAGTTTTTTATGACATTTTTAATAGAAAGTGTCGCATTAACCACTTTATAGGACACTTTTGCGAAAGTGTCCTATAAACTCAATTTTTTATAGGACATTTGTTTTTATAGGACGGTTTTTCAAATAGTATCTTATAAAGTTGCTAATGGGACGTTTTATTTTAAAAGTGTCCAAAAAAACTTATTACGATATCAAAAAACGTTATATAAACTTATTACAACACCTTTAGATAGGACACATTTTTTAGTCCTATAAACTAAGTCCTATAAAGAGGTCTATTAGGACGCTTAGAAATTAGGAGTGTCATATAAACCCAATTTTATTGTAGTGACATTTCTCATTTCAGTCAAATAATTTCATAAAGAAATCAACAAAAAAAATATGAGTGTGTAACATTTGATGTGATGATATCGATTAAGTGTCAAAATGATCTATAAACATCGATTATTATAATATATCACCTTAAGAGTGTAATACAGTATTAAATGGAAGACTTTTACCTATGCATTTTCCTTTGGAAATCCATCGTTTAGAGTGGTGATTCGTCACAAAACTGTCAAAATGTTGGTGGATAAAATTGTTAGCAGAAAACTAAAATCAGTAACAAATTACTCATGTATTTTCTAGGTGATCTATTTGTATTTTCTTGAAAAAACATCGAATTCTACTGATTCATTGGTATTTTCTCACTACAACAAATCAACCTTATTGCAATGACAAAGGTCGTTGCCGAAATAGAAATTTCGTCACTAGTGCTCAACTGCGACAACTATCGCTATTGGGTGTGCTACTATTCGCTTGTGGATGTAGATAACCTATTGAATCGACATGTTGTCGTTATAAATAAATAAAAATTACCTATCGGCAACAATAAGTGGTTCCTATACCTATAGCCACGTAAGTCGAAACAGTAGTATTAAAATTTCAATTTTCTATCTACTGGGATAACAAGTCATCGCTATATGTATCTAAA